GCATTGTACTTTTCTTTTGGAACAGTAAAAAGTAAAGTAAAGTTAAAAGTAATGCAATTCATAAGAATATATATGTTTGATAATCCAGATTTTATAAGAGCACTAGTTTGGCTTTCGCTTCTTGGTAAAAAAAAAACCTCGTAGAATCTTTAAATTAAATTATTTTTGTAATCTTTAATAAATAATAAGTCAACTTAATTCATTTATTATAAATTTGTTTTATCTTTTAAAATGTACTACATCAATTTCTTTTTTTTCGTAATCCAAAAGTAATGCTCCCGAATTAGCTTAACCAAATATTCCATTCTAAATTTAGACGATCTATCTAAGTGCATCCCTTTCCTTGCTTCTGATTCTTTTGTAGCTCATTCAACAGTTTACGCAAATAAACCCCAAACAATTTTAGCCACCCCCAAAAAAAATGTCTAAAGCATTTAAAGAACACTTTTTTTTAGCATTTGCGTTGCTATTCCGCATTTATTATCACCGGGTAAACAGTTCAAAGCGAAACAAAGCTCTCGAATGGTGTCGTTTAATGAATTTTTATCTGCGAAAGAGACGGGCATAGTCCTGCAAGGAAAGAGACGGGGAGAGCGGTGCGAAGCGGGCTCTTGAGGTCATAAAAAGGGTTCACAGACGATTTGCTCGAATTAATTGCGCTGCCATTAACGAAGCGACGTCGAATACTGGAAAGGGAATGGGAATGGCAATGACAGCCCAAATGGGTGGGGAATACCTCCCAAAACAACGTCCCTCCGTTCCAGATACAACCCCAAGTTGAAAATTCGGTGAAATTATTCTCGCTGGTAATTTGTTTTTAGCCTTTGTTGTTGACTATGAAGGGGAAATTACGAATTCGCTTGAACTGCACAACAATATTTGTTTATTTGATTTTATTTCGCATGTTTTGTTCGGCTCTTTATTCCTTTATTTTTATTTTTCTGGGCCCCGGAAATGCGAATTGAATTGTGGGTAAACCAAACAAAGCAACAGGTTCTGGTTAATTGAATTCGGGCTTCTGTTCTGAGGGCACAACTTCTCTCTTTGAGAACCAGAAAAAGTTTTCAGCTTTGATTGCTTGATTTTTAAATATTTCCGAGATTAAGTCTGACCTTTCTGGGATTTGCAGCCCAGTCTACTTCATTAAACCCGCTTTTGTCTCTGAAAATGTCCATGTATCTTAATTAAATCTGTACAAATTGAACACATGCGAGATGCATATCTCGATCATTAGATGAACAAATTTTTATGGAACCTCATCTGATTGGAGTATCTCCGTATCTTTGGCAAATTTATACGATGCTCGGCCATCTAAACTATCATTAGTGAAACACAACGTCCTGCAGATCCAACTAATTAAGTTGGATAACTCGGGGAGAAACACAAATCAAGTGATGGATACGATAAATAAGAGAACAAGCTTCTGATACCTTTCCAGCTACCAAATGGAACTATCACGTGAGCTAAGGCCTGTAAAAGAGTCATTTAACAATCGTTTTAAGAGGAAGGCGTTGCTCTGGCAGGAGCCCAATAATTATCTACTACATCATATTCAAATGAAATGATGAGAATGCAATTAAAAATGCATAGAAACCGTCGGGATGGTGCGATGGAGGGTTCACTCAACTGTGGCTTTGATTGCTCAATTTCGATTACCTAACATCCCGACATCCAGACCCTAACCTCGGTCACAATCGGAATGGGGCGAAGTTGCTTGACAAGATTCGGGGAGCTGGGGAGCTGGGGCGATTAGAAGTCAATCCAGTTAATCCCCAAAGCGCAGCTGCCAGATCATAAAAATCAACGAAGGAAAAAACTACGAAATCAAAGAAACCCTTTTGACTGGATTCTTGCCCCTCTGGAATTTTTATTGTATCCGCATCTTTATGGGCGTTTATTAATTACCCATCGAGGCATTGATTTTCATGGGACAGCAGCGGCTTCGAAAGAAGTTCTGTGTTTTTTTGGGAGCACAGGGAATGAAAGGCTTGCGTTCAGATCTTGACTCCTCCGGTGAATGACAAAAACCCAAGGCGTTGAATTAATTTGTGTCCACAGTCCACTCAAGTTCCCAGTCTTTTCCACTCCTTCCTGCCACAATCTCCACCATTTCGATAAAGCGTTTAGTTGTGGTCGTCGTTGCCACTGATAAATCGTTCAGTCTGGAGATGGGCTTTCAACGCTTTTAAAGCTGCACTGGGAAAATAAAATGGGAGGTCCCACAAAGTGTTTTCTAATTTCCAGATCAGGTGACACAAAAAGATTTTAAACTGTTTAATATTTTTTAAATCAGTTTTGAGAATTTTAAAGGAAAACTTTTAATTTACCATTTAAAAAGGTAACAATTACTACTTTCCATTCCAAAAGCTCCTCTTTTGAATTTTTAAATTGGTTGCAACGTTAAATTCTTTTTGTCACTTGGCAAATTTCCTTATTTTTATAGTCGGTAAAGAAACCTTGTCCATTAAATGTTTTCATTTAAAAAATATCTATAAGCTGACATTGAATTTTAAACTGCAAAACGAATTTATTTCCGTGTTCTAACCATTTCATTATCTTCCGAACGGGGAGACACAAAAACATTTTAAACTTTTTAATATTTCTTAAGTCAGTTAAATAAATTTTAGAGGAAAACTTTAAATTTACCATTTAAACCAATTACTGCTTTGAATTTTTGAATAGGTTGCAACATTAAATTCATTAGGTCTCTTGGCAATTGCCTATTTTTATAGTCAGTAAAGCAACTTCCTTTATAATATGTTTTTAAAATGTATAATTTAATTTTAATCCGCAAAACGAATTTCTTTCCGTGTTTCAACCATTTCATTACGCGTACGAGTATTGATGATCGGCTGTCGACCAAATGACCAAAGTCTGAGATAAGAAAGACCCCAAGGCGGATGCCCCAAGAGGCTTGAAATGTGAGACCTGAGAAAATGCAACCGTTCGGGGAGATAAGCAGCCCAAGAAGCTTCTTCATTGAAAGGGCCTTTAAAAATTACCTGAGCTCCGTAATATGCAGAAGGTAGGTGTGAATATGCTCGAGAAATGCCGGCGATAAAGCGTAAAGTTTAAAATTTTAATTAAGCAAGAGCTTTGCTTGCAGAGGTATGCGGAAAAGAAGAGGAGAGTGGGGTTTGCAGAAGGAGGTGTCAGCTTTTGAGCAGCTTTAAGGATTGCAGCTTAAGCCGGTCTGCCTAATTGAATCTCGGGCACCTCTTTGGGGGCGAGGGGGCGTGTCCTCGCATCCCAGCCCCAGATAACTTAAAGCGATTTCTTTGGCATTAAGCAGATGATATCACAACAAGGCAAAACAATAACGAGAACGGAGCCGAGAACTCGATGCCGGTTCCTTCGCAGGGGATTAAATTCGTTATCGCAGTCTGGCCTTGGGCCCATCAGTTAGCAGACTCAACAGTTGACTAGATGGAGTGACTAGCATCGATGCTCGAGGTCGCAGATTAATTATATCAACAAGTTTATTTTATATTTGTACACGAATCAAAAGCGATTTAGTCATTCAGATAAAAATAGTACTGGGTATTAGCTTATATTTTAGAATTGTGAGACAACTTTAGACCCTTACCCTTTTTTGATAAAATTTTAAATTATATCAATGGAGTAAAATAGAAAGATTCTTTCCACATTCTAAAAAATGTCTTGTGACCCTCACAGAAGTAAACACACAAAACACTAATAGAAATCAGCAAGTATACAGGGGAATGGTAATGGCAATAATCGTATTAAAAAACAAGAAAGGAAAGCTAACTTCGGGCGGAGCCGAAGTTGATATACCCTTGCAGAATACTCTGTAAAATCCGAACTTCCTAACTTTAACAACAACAAAGTTATGGCATTTCCAATCGTTCAGTTATATGGCAGCTATAGGATATAGTCGGCCGATCCTTATGAAATTTGGTAGGTCGGATTGATTGGCCAAATATAAAACCCATAGAAAATCCCAACTTTCTAACTTTACAAACACCAAAGTTATGGCATTTCCGATCAATCAGTTATATGGCAGCTATAGGATATAGTCGGCCGATCCTTATGAAATTTGGTAGGTCGGATTGATTGGCCAAATATAAAACCCATAGAAAATCCCAATTTTCTAACTTTACAAACACCAAAGTTATGGCATTTCCGATCAATCAGTTATATGGCAGCTATAGGATATAGTCGGCCGATCCTTATGAAATTTGGTAGGTCGGATTGATTGGCCAAATATAAAACCCATAGAAAATCCCAACTTTCTAACTTTACAAACACCAAAGTTATGGCATTTCCGATCAATCAGTTATATGGCAGCTATAGGATATAGTCGGCCGATCCCGGCCGTTCCGACTTATATACTGCGTGCAAAGGAAAGAAGGGTGTGTGCAAAGTTTCAATCCGATAGCTTTAAAACTGAGAGACTAGTTTGCGTAGAAACAGACAGACGGACAGACGGACAGACGGACAGACGGACAGACGGACATGGCTATATCAACTCAGGAGGTGATCCTGATCAAGAATATATATACTTTATAGGGTCGGAGATGTCTCCTTCACTGCGTTGCACACTTTTGACCAAAATTATAATACCCTCTGCAAGGGTATAATAACAATTTTGTTAAGTATAAAGATTTATGAAGTAACGTTTTTAGAAATTTAAAAAGCTTAAGGTTAAATTTTTGGCATGCTTAAAAAGGATGAGGCGAAAATAACTTATCCTCCTAAATAAATATCTTATCATTTTTAAGGCATAAACATTAATGTATCAAAATTATCATCCATATCTAACAAAATGTTTATACTCGATTATGTTGAAAGAGTAAAAACTTTTTATATATTAAATCAATTTTTAACGAAAAAGTTTATCCTCGACTGTTCGGAAAAAGTTATTATATATTAAATCGTTATGAGAATACAAGAAAAAACTCACTGTATCGAAACACACTTGCATATTTCTTAAGTTCACTGTTCGAATGATTACTGAGTTTTAAAAATAAAAAACTGACTTTTTAAATTTCTTGTATTATTATTATTAAATTGATTATTGAAGTTCATCGGCCAGGTACTTTTCGGGATCGTAGAAGGAGGTCATCACGATGCGACCGCTGAACTTGCGTCCACTCAGCGCCGTCAAGGCCTTTTGGCAATCCTCCACGGACTCGAACTGGACGAAGACCTTGCCACAGCCCCGCTGCGGGGATTGGCCCATGGGTCGGGGGATCTTGATGGTGCGGACGTCTCCGTACTTGGTGCACTCCTCCTTGATGTCCGAGCGGATGTCCTCGAACTCCTCGTCGTCCAGCAGTTCCTCCGGCAAGACCATGTTGAGCAGGCACAGAACCTCGGTGGCTGTGCCGGCGTTTAAAAGCGAGGATATCCCCGGAACCTGCACCGTGGGCACCTGTCCAGTAATCGCGTTCTTTCCCCCGGCAATAGAGCGCTGGACCACCAGCTTGCGATCCCCCAACTGCATGCCATGCAATCCAGCTATGGCCTGATCCGTGACCGTGGGATCCAGGTACTCGAAGAAGGCGAAGCCCTTGCTCAAGCTCGTGCTGCTGTCCTTCACCAGGTTGAATCCCCTCAGCTTCCCGAAGGACAGTAGCAGCTCCTTGATCTGATTCTCGTTCAGGCAAGTGGGCAGGCCACCCACGTAGATCTTGTTCGGAGAGTCGGGAACGAGGGGGGAGATCACATGTGATGCGGCAGAGGCAGCAATGGGAGGCATGGTGAAAGTGGTTTGGGGCAGACTAAAACCAGTGTCCGAATCCGAGGAATTCCCGTTGGCCACCGGCTGGTAGTCGTGGGGTCTTCGTATCTTCAGGGTCTGTCCGCGGAAGCTGATCCCATCGAAGTTGATGGCCTGGGTGGCCTCGTCCATCGATCGGAATTCCAGGAAGGCGAAGTTCTTCTCCAGATTCGTCTGACACGTCAGCACCGCCTTGCCGTCCAAATACTGCGAGCCCTCGAGTCCCAAGGACAGGATCTGATGGTTGAAGAACTCCATCATGTCCTCCTCCGTGATGCCGAATGGAATATTGCCCACATACAGACGACGCGCTTGTCGGGTGACCATCGCAATGGCGGCGGACTCCGCGGTGGGCGGGGCATCCGGCAGAATCCGCGAGGCTATCTGCCCGCTGGCCTGCATGGCCTTGTACTGGAGCGGAGTCAGGTGTTCGTACCCGGCCGGCGGAATGTCCCAGGACGAGGGAGCACGACCCGGACGTCGTTCCAGTCGGGATTTGTCTACAAAGATCGCATTGGAGCGCGTGGGTCGGGGGCGAGAACTGGAACGCGAACGGGAACGTTCATTCTGGGTGCGGTCCCTACGCAACCGACGACGACCCATGGTTTCGATAAATATCCACAAAGAGAAGGTCCAACAAAGGAGAAATAAGTGCTGTTAATAGTCGAAACAGATTTTTGACAGCTTGGAAAAGGGTGACAGCCCGTGGAATCGATAATAAGGAGTGTGACCTTACTTAAACATTGGAAGTACAAATAATACAAATATAGTTGAAAACAGCTTACATTTTTTTATTTATATCTTTAGCTTTGTACAAATGCATATGAGGGAAGCTAATAATTTTTAAAAACAAAGGGCTACCCCAAATTCTTACAGAACAATTTTTTTTCATTTTTAATAATGTTTACATTGCCATAAAAAATATTTATTCTATTACTTTATGCCTTGATTTCAAAAATATGTGTTGATTTTCAAATAAAAATGTTTGCTAAAAATACATTTACTAAGCCTTCATATAAAAGAAAATAAATTATAGTTATATAACTCGTCAAACCCGTCATCACTTCTTTCCAGTTTTGTAAACCTCAAAGCGACACTTAAATCCATTAAAATATTTTCCCTAGCCCAATAAATATATCAAAAATTTATTAATTTAAATGCCAACATTTCGCTGAAAGCCACAATTAAGTCGTTTATCATATAACCGAATAGTTTTCGGCTTTTATTGTGATTCGTTATATCTTTCGACAAAAAAACGTATCTACGTATCTGCGGGTGCATATTTCCACCGAATAATCATAATCATCATAATTTTCGTTAATATCGCCAATCAATTATAATTAATTGGCAACGGCTCGCCCGCAGGCAAAATAAATAGAGAAGAAGCAATTTGTTAGGGAATGCTTTTTGGGTTCGTCAAAAGAGCTGCGTGTGTCTCCATCGCAATGTGTGGTCTTCCCAGTTCATGTGCCCTCAGGGGGTTCCGTCCAGGGATAGAAAGAGCTCGCAAGGAACCAATCCTCACGACATTCCTTGGAAACACGACAACGACTTCATTTGGAACCGAGGGCGGCTCAATTAATTCAAAAAAGGCGACACAATAAAACTGTCAACCCAGATCGGACAAAAGAGGGATATCAAACTTAGGACAGAGAAGCGTTCTATTCACGGAAAAAAATCTTCCTTAAACGATTACATATGGGTGAAAAAAAGATCATTGGCAATTTTAGTTTACAACTTTTTATTCTTAATTATTTGCTTTGATAGAGCTATAATATAAATTTCGTATAATACCCTTATAGATTATTTAAATACCGATTTAAACTCTACAGTGTTTAATATCATTTAGTCCAACTCATTTTGTTTTATATTCTTCATACTTGCAACTTTAAATATTATCTCCATCTTATGCAAAAGATTTTCCCTCAGTGGTAGAAACACAGCTCCTATTTCACCACTCTTCTCGATTGAATCCTCAATAAACAACTTTGTCGGACCCAAACCCAAGTGATAATTTATGTCCTCGATCGCCGAATGAGCCACACGATCTCCTGCGGTCTGGGATCCGCGATCCTTTATGGAGATGCAGGCATTTTTCTCCCATCAACCAGGATAATGGTCTACTGTTTAATGGCTATTTGATGGCCAAGCGATCGCGCACAGATAAAAAGATACAGTCCCAGTCATGATTCAATGCCAATTTGACACTTGGAAGGAGATGGAGCGGGGAGCGGGGGTGCATAGTAAAACGCAATCTCTGTCCGGCATTAAGCCTAAATTAAATATATTTCATCCAGTGTCCAAAAACCAATTAATTCTTTGTTCTGGCGTTTGGGCTTGTTGTTGTTGTTGCTGGTGTTCCAATGGCCAGAACCTGTCCACAAGCCTGACAAACGCAATTAATTTCTCCATTTAAATTCAGGCAACGTCGCCCCCCTCCCCTCCCCACCCTTCCCGTTGCCTTGGGCTCCGACTTTCTGACATATCCCCACATTGATGTCCATCGATGGCGGTGTCCAGATGATGACGAGCCCCTCCGTTTTTTTCGTTCCCAAATTTCGATTTCGGCCTTTTATTTAAACAATAACGAAGGCGATAAATTAATTTTTTCTTTAACACACAAACAACTCAATAAAAATTCATAACAGATTGTGCCACGTTTGAGTTTTGGCCACATGCATGAAATGGAAATCAGATAAGAGGCAAAAAATCGTGCACACCACTATATTAAAATTGTTCTGGATGAAATTTAAGTTTTTTGGTTGTGTGGGAAACAATTTTGGAAACTTAAGTGAATTTTGATGTTGAAGAGATTTTGAAGGTAGACATAATGTGAAACATTTTATAGTTTAGTTTGATTTTATGTTATTTATATGTTCCTATATATAACATTTTGTATACAAAAAAAATCGAATATTTTTCAAAATCCTTTGGACATTTTCATTTCATTTAAAAAAAAAATTGTAACCCACATCATATATCAAATACTGAAAAATTTTTTAAAAATATATAGACTGGAGTTCATCGCAAATACCCCTTTTAAAATATGCCAAAACGCGTGTAAAAATTATGTGTTGGTAAAATCATCGCACAATCCTCAAAAATGATCTATGTTGTCCTATACAATTTTCATTCTGTGTACGATGTTAATGGCGTTTTCTAATAATTTTAAAAGAGTTAAATTCACAAAATTGTCTATACAAATAGTTCTTGCTTATGAATTTTGTTCCCAAACACATTAGATATAAAATTAATTTATCTTATTTGCACTTTGTTCTTTCACATTAGTTATACGAACCATTTTGTATTTTCGCACTAAAACAAAGACTTATTTTAGCATTGTTAATCACACTCTCTTAAAATGTTCTATCATTTTGTTGTGTTTACCGACTAGATGGCGACTATTTGCTTAAACTGCAATATTTATTATATTTATTTTAAAATATACAAACCAAATTTGCAACCAATAGTTTGTTTTCCATGTTGTTTAGGTTGTGTTTTGTTGTCTTCTTTGTGTGTCTTTAAAAAAATAACACTGCCATATTATTCAGGCAAATGGATACCGCACAAGTTAAAAATTTGTATTTGTTAGAGCCCGTGGGACAGATTGATATTTATACATTTTGAGTGACCCCGAGGCTTGAGCCAAGTTTGGGTGGGCGGGGAGTCCTATCTTGCGGTCAAAACTCTTTCCACGAATTGGGGACCCCAAATGAAAAAAGAGGACAAATAATTTTATAATGAACTCCGGGTTCGGGGCGATTTCATTGATGGGTTCGTTTTCGGTGGCACCAATTGATTTGTGGCCGTAAGCGTGTGAACGTGATTTTATTATCAAATATTGTCCATGTCGTGTTAGTTTTAGTAAATTAAATAAATCATCCAATGGCAAACAGCAAAAAGTTTTCTGTGCGAGTACGGTTTTGTCAACAACAGCATTTCAATTTATTTTCTGATGAATCAACAGAAAAGAAAAAGCCATCACGAAAAATAAAAACAAAATAATGAAAGCAAAAATAATACAATTTTTGCATACAGCTTTTGCCCTTTGCCCAGATGTGGCTGTCTCTTTTTTATTTGTCCCCGTCTCCCTTTCTCCATAAATATCTCTCGAGTGCATCCGCAACTACTTCAGATTACAGATTTCAGTATAACAATTTGTTTTTTCCCTCGTGTTTTTGTTTTTTCTTTTTTTATATTGTTTTATGCAATTTCTCGACAATTTGTCGGAGGCTTCTTCTCGTGCCATCGCTTCATTCTTCAGTTTTGGGTGAGGAATTTGCATCATAAATTGTCAGAGATGTCATAAAAAATAAATATATTTGTACATACTGCATATACATTACTGTATATACATTCCGTTCGGTCTTTGTTTTTGGAGAAAAAAACCAAAAAAAATGCAGAAGAGGACTTTGTGTGGAGGGCAGGGATTTTGTGGGAGGACATTGACATTCAGCTGGTTCTTCGTAATTTCATTTCACTTCACATCAGAGAGTTCTCCTTCTCCTTTATTTTTTTCTGGGGTCACTCCTTGTGTGATGCAACTGAATTAAGCCCGAAGATACCGCTTTCGAGCGAGAAAAGGGAATTCCTAATGATATTGTGGCCCCAATTATCTGCTTAGAGTTGGCCAAAGGAATATGTAATACAGTTAGCTGAAGTGCAATCACATCGGATCAGAAAAGGCGGTTGTCGCTTTAAACAGCTTTGTAATCAGGTTTTAAACTAACTGGGATTTTATTCAGTTTTTAAAAGAGTTCAAAGGAAATCATAATGCGTATATTACTTAACAAGAGAGATCGTTATGTTTAAGTTTCACGTCCATGGAAAAATAAGTATTAGCAGAAAATGTTTTTATTTATTTCGTAGGAGAAGTATGTATATACAGAATTTATTATTTACTAGCATTTATTTTCATAAAAAAGGCTACATATTATTTGTTTTTGTATATCTGCGTTAATATTTTGTAATAGAATTTTTTCGGTGTGCTCACTAATCACTTTTTTTGATCGAAATTTGTATGGATGTACGGTTGAATTCTATCTACATTTTAAGCCAGATTCCAAGAGCGAAAAAATGGAAACAAAAAATTAAATTATGCACTATTTAACCTTTAGTATTTCGCACCATTACAGTTATAAACCAACATTTGCAGATTGCCTTTGTACAAAATACACGTACCAAATTTTTCGATTAAATGCAAATTTAACAATGCACACTGGGTACATAGAACTTTGTCCTTCTCAACCAAAATTAAAATTAATTTGTACGTGTAATTTGTAATTAGTTGCGCAAAATATATTCGACTAAAACAAACAATATTGATGTTTTTTATACAAAATTCAATTAAAATTGTTTTTAAAAAGAACATGTTTTTCTTAACGTTTCTGACATAATTCCCTTTCGATGATTTTTAATCAACTTTAAACATCTAATCAGAAATCCAATAAATTTTGTTTCTATCGTTTGAATGCAGTCCAAAAAGTTTCACAGATTTGCTGATTCGAACAGAGCTTCAACCCCATTTGATAATGGGTGATCAACATTTAATGTGGAAATTTTCATAACTATTCGATTTCTGAAGGAGAGTGCTCAAGTCGATGGTCGCCTTTTCCATTTTCCCTTCGATTCTGTAAGAAACTATACAAAAGTCATTGTTTCAACCCCAGAAACAAG